CTTCCGCCTCGCTCCCTCTTTTCTGTCTCGCTCCTTCTCTTCTGCCTCGCTCCCTCTCTTCTGCCTCGCTCCTTCTCTTCCGCCTCGCTCCCTCTCCTCCTCGATGGCACGTTGTCGTATGCAGGCTCGTACACGTCCACATTTTTAAATTGTGTTGGACCAGACGAGGCCCCGTGTCTGACCTCGGCACGTCTCCTGCGTTTATTGGACATAAAAGGAAACGTTGCTCCGAGCGCCTGGAGTCTGTCCCCCAATCTTTATCTTGTCACGTCAACACTGTTAGCCAGGGTGAAGCACCCCCCCCTCCCATCCCATCTACCCTCAGCTAAAGCCCCCGTCACCTGGAGAGAGCCAGCGACACACACACACACACACACACACACACACATTCACAGTTTTCTTGCATCCAAACATTTTGCTTCGACGTGAAACTTCATTTTGGAAACTTGGAAGGAGACAAGCCAGTGGAGCGTTTTGCACCATGACAGAGTTAAAACACTAGTTTCCTCCACACGGTCTCATTGGTAGTGTGTCAGACGTGTAGTGCGCCCCCTGGGGGGTCTAACCCAATGTTGCGGCCACCCCCATCAGGCCCTCGAGTCCCTGCTGCAGCTGTACGAGGCCCGTGCGGACTACGAGGAGTTTTGCATCCCCATGTGCATGCTGCCTGCCACCATTAGTAACAATGTGCCCGGCACCGACCTCAGCATCGGCGCGGACACGTCCCTCAACGCCATCGTGGAGGTAAGGTCCAGTGGAAGAGGTGAAAAATGGCAGCTAGAAGTTTCCTGTGTTATAACGACGACTGTTCAGAATCACAAATAAACGACTGGATCACAACTTGAAAAACTCCTCCCGAGACGTTTGGCAGAATAATAAACTGAAGAGATAATGTTGCTGGATTTGAACTAATCGTCTCAGACAATGTTGCTTCACAGATGTTTCTAGGAAAAGTCTGTGAGTTTACGTTTCTATATTTGAAGAGAGGAAGGAAAGATGCAGAGCTCTGATGTGCATGTGATCGTGTTTGATGTTGGATTGATGAAGTTTTGAAACGTGCTCGTCTCCTCCTGCTGGTAAAGTTTGTGGATTTCTCCCTGGGACGTGTCGTCAGGTCTGGATTGGAAACAGTTTGATAAGTTTGCACGGATAAAAACTTCTACGTTGTTGTTAAAGTATTAAATGTTTGGCATCTGTCGCCTTCAATGGAAACTTGAAACACTTTGAAAAGGACGTTTTCATTTAGTTTCCATCAGTTTTTTAAAATCCTGCATCAACAGAAATGTTTCTGAGTTGAACGTCCTTCATTCAGATTCAGGATTCGGTGCAGGACTGAATGTTTGGTGTCCTCTTGTAGGGAAGTCACATCATGACAAACATGTTCAAGCAGAGCTGCAGCTGATCATCGTCCTGATCATGACACTGCACATCACAGACGTGAAAACACAGTGATGATAAGAAACAGAACAAATCTGCACAGTCGGTAAACGACGTCCTGTGAATGCTCCGTGTGTCCCACTTGCATGACTCGTTAGTTTCAGCTCCACTGTCTAAATCTCTCGCAGCTGCACGTCCTCTTTGCTGAACCAGTCTCCTGTGTCTCTTCTGAACTAACTGTAAACTCTGTGCCTGTGGGAATCAGACCTGCGACCGCATCAAGCAGTCGGCCAGCGGCACCAAGCGGCGGGTTTTCATCATCGAGACCATGGGGGGCTACTGTGGCTACCTGGCCACTGTGGGGGGTCTGGCTGCCGGAGCAGACGCCGTCTACATCTACGAGGAACCGTTTGACATCCGCGACCTGCAGGTCAGAGACGAATCACATCGTTTTTTACTGAAGCATCTTGTCGTCGTGGAGTGAAAACGTTTCCCCCCCCCCCCCTCTGATGAGTCTCAGGCGTGTGACCCAGATTGGATTTATTAATAACCTCTGAGCTGCATCACGATTACACACGTCAGGCTCGTCACAGTGTTCTCATATTCATACACCGCAAACTTTAACTTCACCTTATAATCGAAGTTTTGTTTAATCGGTGATTAGCTTTTAAATAAATTACTTTTTAAAAATATTTTAACATGAATTATAACAGTAGATTGATTTCAGCTGAATTTCTATTTATTTCAGTTTATTTATGTGAAAAGTAAGTAAAATTATTTTTAAAATCTGAGTAAGAATTTTAAATAAAAACGTTAAAATAATGGCGATGGAAGGAGCCCAGTCAAACTTTATTAAGGGTAGTTGGCGCCCCCGGGTGGTCCAAACACCACCCTGCGCCTCTCCTCTCTGAGGAGTCGTGAGGCGAAGCTGTGATTTGGATCTGGATCCTGCAGGTCACAGTTTGACGCTCCGCTCTGTGTTTCCAGGCCAACGTGGAGCATCTGACGCAGAAGATGAAGACGAGCATCCAGAGGGGCTTGGTGCTCAGGTGAGGCTGCTCTTCTTCGTCTTTTACGTCTCCAAGCTGCTGCTGCTGTTTCCTTGACGTTACCTTGGACAGTTTGACTGAGGACAGTGAGTTTCTGCAGGACTGAGGCAAGAAGCAGACGTCTCAGTTTTTTTTGTGGTAACATTTTAACAACTGCACAAAACCAGTGAGTCTGAAAATATGTGTGACATCAGATCGACCTTACAGATGTTAACTCGTGTCGTGTGGCTATTTTTGTCCACTGCACCATCCTGCTGTTCTGTAGCAGGACGCAGGTCTCAGGAAATGGGACGAAAGAAATAGTTTGGACATTGTGTCTGAGCCGAGATGTAGAGCTTTAACAAATAGAAGGTGGTTTTGATTTGTCCAGGTTTTTAAATTCATCGGATGTCTCTCACTGCGCTGAAAACAAGAAAGTCATCACCGAGGAAACCTCTGACCCTTTAACTGACCTTTTCACGTTTCAGGAACGAGAACTGCAACGAGAACTTCACCACGGATTTCATCTACCAGCTGTACTCGGAGGAGGGTCGGGGCGTGTTCGACTGCAGGAAGAACATCCTGGGGCACATGCAGCAGGTCGGACACACGCCAACAAACACACGCTTCACCGAGCCAGATTCGTCTTTGTCAAGTTAATTGACCGATAATGTCGGAAGTCGTGCGGCGGCCGAGAGAAGTCAGCGCACTGCAAATCCAGAAAACACAGCAAATAGAAAAACAATTTGACCACACGTGCAAAAATACATTTCCGGTGTTTGTCACAAGAGGATTCATAAATGTACACTTGTCCTTTTCATGGTAGCGTAGGTCAATCCCAGCATGCACCGGGAGGGAGGTGTCCAAATATCGTAAATGTATCGCGCTTCTTTTAATTCTCTTAATCCAGCAAACGATCATAAACAAGAGATGAGACACTGGATTTAAATTTGCGAATTGTCTCGTGAAAGGCAAAATTTTTTTTATGTCTGTTATGTTTTCGGGTTCTAGATTTTTTTCGGATTAAGGTCACGGTAACATCACTAATTAATACGATAGTTCAAGAACGCCTTGAGGGAATTTCTCTGAATTTGGTTGAGAAACTTTCTCTTGACTTCAAGGATGAACTGATTTGAGTTTGATGGCCAAAGGTCAAGGGTCACCGTGACCGCTCAAGACATGTTTTGCCTTGTGAATGCGATATCTCCGGAACGCCTCGAGGGAATTCTTTAAAATTCAGCGCACGTGTTCACTGGGACTCACGGATTTACTGATTTGATTTTGGTGGTCAAAGGTCAAAGGGCAGGGTCACTGTGGCCTCACAAAACATGGCCTCTTGAATGTGACAACTACAGAACAACTTGAGAGAATTTCCTCAACTTTTGTTCAGTTGTCACTAAGATGAAGTGATTAATCGTCAGTGGTCAAAGGTCACGGTGACTTCATGTGAATCTGATTTAGACGGAAACTGTGATCATTCTAGTTTATGTATTAATATTCATCTGAAATGATGTTTCAATAGCTTTTCTCTTTCACGGCCTTATTTTAAATATTCAAATGTTTTCCTTCTTTCCGCAGGGAGGAGCTCCGTCTCCATTCGATAGAAACTTCGGCACCAAAGTTGCAGCTAAAGCGATGCAGTGGATCACAAGGACGCTCAAGGACTCTTACAAAGGAGGTAGAGCGGACGTCGTCCCTCTGTTTGAAGAGGACATTTCAATTTCTCTGGTTTCTTGTTCTTCTGGGTTCACGAGTTTCTCTGTGCACACGCGTCGGTTGTGAAGTTTAACGCTTGTTCTCGATGCAGGACGAGTGTTTACCAACTCGGAGGACACCGCCTGTCTGTTGGGGATGCGCCGCAGAGCGATGGTCTTTCAGCCCGTGTCTCAGCTCCGGGACGAGACCGACTTTGTGTAAGAAAGACACATTTCTATAACTTTCTATACTTAACCATCGGTTGTGAAATACTTTTCATGATGCATTGTGGGAAACAATGAGTCCACTATATAGTGATTTTTGGAAACACAACATGAGAACGTGTTATTCATCATCTTAGCAAGAAAGAAAATCATTAAACTCTTCATTTAGTATTTAAGGCTAAAGAAATATTATCAATTATTGACTCGCTGTGAGAACTTTTGTCTTTAAATTGCAAACAGAATAAAAATGCTGTTTGTATTTGCTCCCTCCAGCCACAGGATCCCGAAGGAGCAGTGGTGGCTGAAGCTCCGTCCGCTGATGAAAATCCTGGCCAAGTACAAGACGAGCTACGACGTGTCCGACTCGGGACAACTGGAACACGTGACCCGGGTCCGACCCAGAGAGAGCGACGGCTCGTCCGCCATTTGAACCAAAGAGATTCGCTCCAACGTGAAAACAGCTCCACCGAACCGGGGTGGCTGCTCACACGACGACGGATTGACAGATAAATTATGGTAGATTTTAAAAGGCGGGTGATGATATTAAAGTTACGCCGTGCGGTAAAGTCGCAGCACTTTTCAGAGCGGATCGTCCATATTTTAGATTTCGACAGAATTCGAGGTTGGTCTTTTGGAACAGAGCTTTTCACATCTTACTAAATTTGACTGGGGAGATTCTACGAAATACAAAGTTAATATAAACCTAAATGTGTATAAGCACGATTCAAGTTTTGGTCCTGAAAGTGTAGCTTTATCTTTTTATTTTGAAGAAGCCAAACTGAGCAAACGTCTTCGTGGCATAAAAGCAGAAAGCCGGAGTCGGGTAATGAATTTTAAGTGTCGCTTTTGTCGTTTTTATTTTCCGCAGCACTTTGAGCCCCGTGATAAATGTAATCCCCCTAAAGCTGCTTATAAACAGAGAATGTCCCGGGAGGAATCGAACTCACGGTCCGAGAACCTGTTCGCATAAATGTCAACCGTTTGTGTTTTTTTTTCCTTTTAAACCACGTCGTGAGGCAGAGAACTGTCGGGAACCGAGTGCAACGTTAACCTTTGTGAACGCAGTGTGGTTTGTGTGTCCTGTCAGAGTAATAAAGCTTTTATTGTGTGGAAGGTTATGAGGTTGTGTTGTTTTTAAAACCACAGAGAATACGAACGTCAGAACGTCGTAAATAACCCAAAAAAAAATCAAGAGCCGACTCAGATTTTAAATATTCCAATATGATATTCATTAATTCATTATTATGTACAGAAGGGAATCTATGGAAAGAAGAGCAGAAATCTGAGGATCAACATATAAGAACCACACACTCACTTTGTTTGCCACCTTTTAAATAAATCTCCATCAAGTCTTCAATTATTAAATTTCTACTGATCAGGTCATTTAACAATCCACGAGGGATCTTTCTTAATCATCTCGTTCTCCGGGCCGAGGATGGAAACGCCACACGTCCTCCGACCGACACTCAAATACCTGCAGGGAGACGAGACACAGACAACCATGCTTTTCTTTATTTATCGTTTTTTACTAACTGACATTAAATCTACAAGTACAACAGAGAAATACTTCAGTAGTACTACAGGGAATTTACTTCAAGGATTTTGTTTTTGTTTACCTTTCGGCCACGTCCACCAAGTTTTTGTGAGTGACAGCGAAGAGTCTTTCTCTGTGACTCTGCTTCATCTCATCTGTGATTCCACTGAGGAAACGACCGGATCCTGCAAAACAGCCAACGACAATCAGACGACGAAAACTACGACTTAACATAAAAAAAAAAAAAAACTCAAGGTAAAGACAAAGAACAGAAACAGAAACTTCATAAACAAATTTCATGTCAGTAGAGACAAAATATTAAAAAATGTGTTTTAAAAGGTAAAACATTTATAAGTTTCATGGTAAAGACATGAAAACGTAAACAAATCTCACGTTTAATTAAGAAAATACGAAAATCCCTTTAAGGTTTTATCTAATTTTCTTTTTACGTTTTTATGTCTGTGACAAAAAATGTCACGTTTAAGATATAAAGATTTTTTTTAAATGTCATGGTAAAGAGAAAAACGTAAAAATATTTTCACGTAAAGACAAAAATTTAAAAAAAAATGTCACGTTTAAGAGATAATTTTTTTTAAATTTCATGGTGAAGACATCAAAACACAAACAAATTCCACGTTTAAGAGATCAAGTTCTTTTTTTAAAATAAGGAAATCTCTTTAAGGTTTTATCTAATTTTCTTTTTACATTTTCTGTCTTTAACCTGACATTTCTTTAACATTTCTTTAACATTTCTTTTTGTATTTTTAGTATGAAACTAACTACTAGGAAATTTTTGTAAAGACAAATATTTTCACAAAAAATTCACAGTAGAGACAAAATATTTAAATTTTTTGTCTAATATCAGGTTTAAGAGGTAAATTTGTTTTAAATTTCATGGTAACGACATAAAACGTAAAAAAAAAGTAATGTAATGACAAAAAAAATCGAACTAAAACTTCATAGTTCATAAAAATGTTGAAGAAATGTCAAGTTAAAGACAAAATTAAAAAAAAATTTGATGAGACCTTAGAGAAAAATTTAAAAAACCCAGGTCATGAAAGTGAAGTTTGCTGATGCGTCTCATGCATCATTCAGTTGAGTTTGAGTCTCACCTTTGTCGGCCGGGGCCACAGGTGCGTCCACAGCGGAGAAGATGGACAGTTTGGCCTCATCGATGTCTTGCTGCGTGAACTCTCCCCTCTTGGCCCAGTCGACACCTTTACGGAATGCAGATAACGTCTGCACGGAGTTGGGGTCCCTGAGAAACCCAGAAGACACGATGTTAGAACTATACCTGTCTAATGTAGAGATGAAATGTGCGGCTTTATTCAATATAGAACACAGTTGGAACTAATGTGCGATGAACGTCTGCCCACCTGTACGAGTAAAAGGTGAACAGACCGCCTCCTCCCATCCTGGCGCCGCCACCGTAGGCTCCGCCTTTCTCTCGAATCTCTCCGTGGAGATATTTAGCCGTCATCATCCTCGCTAAGACACACAAACTGAGAGAGACAAAAGAAATAAAGTTTTACTGAAGTCCAGTGGAGGACTTTGGTGATGTTGATATTAGCATAAACATAAATTGTAGTGATTTAATTCAGAGAAAAGTCATTTGTGGTGAAATCTAAGCGTTCAGAAGAAGAAGAATCCGCCCGGAGGAGAAAAGAGCAAATAACCTGGAATAGTCCTCGTGGGCGAACGGCACCGTCCGTATGATCTCGCTCACAAAATTCACAGGAAACGGCATCTGGAAGAAGGTTTTCATCTGACACGGGTGGAAATTCTGCTCCTGTGGAAAAACAGAAGTTTTTAAATCACATGGAGATTTAATTACATCTTTGAGAAAGACGGTACATCAACATGTGCAGCAGCGTTTTTTTACTCCATCGCAACAGAAACTCTGATATTTCACTGTTGAGTCAACATTAAACAGCAGGTTTCAAAAAGAACAAATTTGATGAGGTGATGAAGAATAACAAACTTCAGACATAGAACGAGGTGTCACAATAATTTTAACAAATTTAAGACCTGAAAAATTCAGACGATTGAGTTTTAGACTTTTGAAGATGCTGTGGAAAACCCAACAAAACTACACTTTCCTTTTTCTTTCTTCCAGCTGCAACAACAACTTTCTAGTTCTTGTGTTGACCATGTACTCCTTACACTCCGGCACCTTGTACTATACCTTTTAAAACTACTAAACTTCATGTGACATAAAATAACTTACAGCTTTGAAATGAAACAACAGAAAAACATGGAATAAGAAAAGCTAAACTGAACTTACACAGATTAGTTTCCTGCTCGGCCCAGATTCATCGAGAGGGTCGAGAGGAATCTGTTTTGGAGGAAAAACATCAAATAAACCAGAAGAAGTTTTCATTAGTTGTTCTGACAAATATTCTGAGATAAATATATATATTCATTCCAGTGTGCGCGTACACTTTACCTCAAATAGATTTTGTCTGACAGGTTTGCGTTGTTTTCTGTTTATAGCGACGTCCCGGATGAAACTCTCCAGCTGAGCTGCTGTGTCAGACAGTTTCTGTGGAGTTGTGTTGACTGCACATCTGTAAAGAACACACAGTTCGATTTCCTTCAGTGTGTGTGTGTGTGTGTGTGTGTGAAAAACCTGAGTCTGGTTCCGAAACACTGACAGCAGAGACAATGTGAACCCACCTCATGTTGTCGGGGTTGAGCAGATGCTTTTTGATTCTGGGTAATGTTCTGATGACTTGGGTGAGGTCCGACATCTCAGCAATCCTCTTCATAAACTTCACCTGGTTTTCAAACAACCGAAACACAGGATGTCAAATTTACCGACAGGGACGTCCCGACGCGTGAAGTTCATCCTCTTCTCGTGAGCTGAGTCGTACCTGCTCCATCCCTCCAAACGTCTCCTGGAGGTCTCCTGCTGGAGTCAGGTGACGGCCGGCGCGGGTCATCGCATACATGTGTCCGGAGTACGAGATCCCATTGGCCAGTTCTTGCGCTGACCTCATCACCAGCACCCTCAGACGCTCCTCGTCATCAAAGTGGGGACTGAAGGGAGGAGGCACGAGAGTAAGATTCCCTGCATCTCACAGCATCAACAATTAAGATTTGTCTTGAAAAACTCTCCACCAACAACGAAGCTCAAGTGGAACCGGACGCGTCTCTCGCCGCTCGAGGTCGTACCTGTTGAATATGTCGCTCCACAGCTGAAACATGTGAGGGAGGTTCCTCTCCAGGCAGGAGGAGAACAGGAGGACACCCTGGAACCGGGAGTTTAACGGTTAAAGCATGAAATCATCTTCAGGCAGGTTTCAAGCGTGTCCTAATAAAAGTCTGGGACGAACACAGATATTATAATTTCCCGATCGGGATACCTCTGCACGGCAGCACAACGCATCCTCAAGCATCTGCCCACAGGACGGAGACGGCACTGACCTGCTCGTACATGTCCAGCTGCGTGGAGTCAGGGATGACCTGCGTGGAGACGGACATGCCTCCGGTCCTCAGCTCCATCTGCTGGGCCTGTTGCCTGTAGTCCAGATCTCCAGAGCCCATCCTGAGGAAACACAGAGGCACAGATGAACACTGATCTGGAGACGATGTAGATGTTCTTCAGAGATCTTCTCCACAGCGGGCCTCGTGGACGATGTCATGAATATTTTATTTACATCAGAGACACATAAAGTTCAACAAAAACACATAAATATTAGTTCTAAAAAACTACAAATGCAGCACTTAAGAGTTTCAAAGCAGTTTCGAGGAGCCACCTTGACGTGTGACAACCAAAATCGAATCGGATCATCCGTGAGTCGAAATGAACATTTGCACCAAATTTGAGACGATTCCCTCAAAGCGTTCTGAACATATTGTGTTCACAAGGCGAGAAAAGGTGCAGTCCCAGGTCGTCAGACGAACTCACCTGGTGATAACGCTGCAGAAGAGCGGGACGTAAAGCCTGAGATCCTCCGGCAGCGTGTTGAGGCTGCACATGGCTCTGAAGTAAACCAGACCATTGGTGGGCTGCTCACAGAACTGAACCGGAACTCCTCCTGAGGACAGAAACTACAGCGCTGCAGTTACTGCGCAAGAGTGACGTGAAGTGTTGCGTGGTCGGCACCGCGCTCTACCTGCAGAGCTCATCTGAACCGCGGTGGCGCTGATCGTCGGCTCGATGTCGCACACTTTGAGCGCAGGCAGACAGGAGACGTCCTGGGTTTTACTCTGAGCAGCCAGCAGTTCCAGACCTTTCCGGGAGGACACGTGAATGTTATGGAGATTTGAATGTTTCGTTAACTTCGCAGAGCGACACCAAGGCGTAATCATCGTTACCTTTCTCATAGATCTCCTTCCTGTCGCTGTCGGACAGAGCCTGGATCTTTCTCTGAAGCTTCTCTTCCTCTGCCTTGGCCTGTTTGTCCAGGTAGGCCTCATCCGGGCTCATGGACAGGGTCAGTCTGTGAGTGTTCTCCTGCAGAGAGTTCAAGGAGAGCAGAACGCGAATGAGCATGAAAACCTAAAATAAGAAGCGGAGGTTAAATCTTCCTCGTTTCTTTCACCTTAAAGTAGTGTTTGACTTTGTCCTGTAAAAAACGA